TATGATTAAAAAAATTTAAAATAAAATAAGAAAAAGAATATGCTAGTAATATTCTTTTTTTTATGTTAGAAAATGAAGTTCGATTGGAGTCAAGTTACTGCATTTTGAAGTTTTACTGCATTTTGGAGTGGAAAATGAGTTTTTCGGTTGGAGATGCCCGAAGTGACGCCTGCAATCTCTATACCTCCTGCAAAGAAACGAAGCCGAACACGCAAGCGAGCGAGCTCCCTTCGTTGCTTCCGATCGGATGTCGTAGCTTCCGATCTCACAGGCAGGCAAAGTCGTCGGATGAGCGAAGTCGAATGAGGGAGCGGAGAGCAAGAGAGTGAGAGCGGGAGCTTGCGAAAGATCGAGTCGAACGAGGCCGAAGGCCTCGTTTTCTTTAGCTCTTTAACGACGTGAATGCGTTGTGGGAGAAATGACGGGTCGCTAGATTTACGGAATTTGAGCGGCGACGACGTGCGATGGTCGTGCAGATGTCGGGCAGGTACGCTAAATGAATTTTTTTTTTCTTTAGACTGCCGTATACAGGTCAACATTGTAATCAAAATTTATAAGCTACAATTTTCTTTGATTGAGTCCTTATATTTAACCTCCAGAACTAACAATTTGTTTTTTATGGAGCCTTCATGTGTATGTATTGTGTTTCAGAGTGTTGTAGCATTTCTAGAAGAAAGGTTCCATCCCAATGCAACTGTGCGTTGGATTGTTATTGGAGTAGTGCTTCCCAAACCCACATAGTCAACCCATTTCAAAACCTATGCCTGCTTGGTATATGTATTTGTATATATAGGACCCTCATCACACCTTTTCATGATATACACATTAGAGATGATGATGCAACTAAGATGATGCAATTACTAGAGATCAAATAGTAAAAAAAATTCATATATCTAAGACCATTAAATACATAGCAAACCCTTGTAAGAACCTTCTCTGACATTAGTCCACTTGCAACTATTTTAGTATGTAATCATCCACTAGATACACTACTTTAGGAATGGAGGGCACTACATGTTAACACTTCTACATTGGAATGAGGAGCTGAAATAATGACAGAACCAAATAAGTCATGCAAAAGGACTTATACTTATTACATTCTCACATCAATTTACCTGACTTTAAAAAAATGATTATGATGAACTGAACTTTTGATATTTATGAAGTCAATATGGTTATTAAATTTAGGCTTTTGTAATGTAAACCATATGTCATTCCAAACCTGTTTGTTACACTGATGTACTAGATATTTCTATTTGTCCGACATCAATAGCAGACATAGGCTTCGTTTGGGATGAGCTTTCTTACTGCTTCTTAAAGCATCTTTTTAGTACAAAATTTTTGTACTAAAAAGCTGCTTTTAAGAAGCAGTAAGAAAACAGTCCCAAACAAAGCCATAATCTCATCATCCAAAATAACTTCAAGTTCAAGATATATAGAAATATTTTACAAAGAGTTGGATGCATATTCATAAGGAGATGAAAATAGAGAAGAACCTAAAAAAAAAATTCTAGTTCATGAAATAAGGTTAAATCTAATATTGAAAACTAGATTAATGCCATATTTTTATGGAATTCCTAATTCATAAGCATTATTATATGTATTAAACAAATATGAATATAAATTGCGTGTTTTTGTAAAATAATCCATAATGCTTCACAACTAAGATTGTCATGATTATTCCCTAGATATTTCTAAAATTCACCAATGGTATTGTGCATATTATTATTGTAAGAACAAGCTCTATATATTTCAATGGTGGCATGTTGGATGTGGATAGAAAAATTCAAAGAATTGACAACTAGTTCATGAATGTTAACTTTGAGCTTCACGAGTTCAATCTGTAGTAAGAAATGCACCAAAGTAAAAGCCACAGTCCCTCATCAGATATGTTGTTAAAAATGTGTTGACGTTGAGTGAAAAGAAGAAGAAGAATTTCTTCTGTTATTTTACTTGATCACAGTCAATTAGTTGTCTGTCACTTTTTCCATCTTATAGCGCCATTTTACTTTCAACAAAGTGAGGTTCCCTTACTCATTTGAAGTTTATTAATCTCATTTTTCTTCTCCCATGCATAGATACCGACCGACACTTCCAAGGTCGATAAAAATCAGATATATGATCTCTTTTGCTGATTAAAATATCAATTGTATGCAATAGAATTGTTACCTAATTTGGCTTCATTTGGGGCGGCTTTCTTCTTGCTTTCTAAAACAATTTTTTTGTAAAAAAAACCGTTTTAAAAAGCAGTGCATAAGATCCCAAACGAAATATTAGCTTTGCTTCTAACCTTTATGACCAACTTCTAAATTTATAAAGCAGTTGCTCTTTTCCTGACGTTCAGGTTTTCACCTCCATCATTTTATCCACTAGCGCCATTACCGTCTGTACTCAAGCCAATCTCCAGTATGTCAGTCGCACGAAATTTGATGCTGAAGGATGGCGATTCTTCATTCCTTATGGTGGTGAATTCCCTATAAAGATCTTGGATGAAAGACTAAAGTATCAATTATATGTGTTTGGGGAATCTATTGGGTCAATTGCAGGTACTGAAAGCATTCTTTTTACAAATCTTAAACTTAGTTTTCCCTTTTCAGATGAACTTCATGAATGCTGGGTTGCTTGTTGATAAAAATAAATGATCGTAAAGTTATGTAAGATTGAAACTAAGAAAAGAAAAGAAAAAAAAACCAGAAATATTTGAATGCCCAAATCAAATCATATTTATATAGTTTAAATTGTAAACCAGAACTTAAATTGAAAGGTTGGCTTTGATTCACTCTCTCACTTATTGATCTGATTTTATTTTAGTTTCCATGATCGATAGGAATCACAAACCAGATGCTTTCAGGGACTAATATTGGCTGAAATGGAGGAAAATTTTTGAAGAGAACATGGTGGAATCTGACAAGGTGATTTTTTTTGTTTTTTGTTTTTGTTGAGGAAGCACTATTCTTAGGCCAGTGAAAATCCGGGTCGGCTTAGCATGCAACTCACACAAATTTACATGAGCCAACACTTAAGGTTTTTACTGCTTGCCAAGGGATTCGAACCAGGGACCTAGGTTTTGCCCAGCCGGTTCTTCACCATCTGGACAAGCAGCGGTGGATATATTTAATTCTAGGCTTTTCAAGGATATGTTTGGGATAGCTTTTTCATTGCTTTATTTTTCAGAAAGCAATTACAATTTCATTTGGTTGTTGCTTTCTCACAATTTTTCATACAATTTTATGGTGAAAAGCTGCTTTTTATAACCATTGTAATTAAGGTTTTTTTTATGACTTTTTTATTGCTTCTTAAAATAATTTTTTAGTACAAAAATTAAAGTTTTATATTAAAATGCTGCTTTAAGAAGTAATGAGAAAGTCATCACAAACGAAGCCTAAGTTATTTTTTTTATTATTCACAATCAACTTTATAAAAAAATTGCAAAAAAATTGCAGCTATTTCAAATAAATCCTAAATCTTTATATGTAAGTTTATATTTACAGTTCTTGAGTTGATAATTAAGGTGTCAATTTTTGTATTTAGGACTGAAAAAGCAGGTGAATTTACATGCTAATGCAAGCTTAATAATAAAGCAAATTTTTATGGGCTCCAAAGATTTTGATTTGGGTTTTTCATTTAAAAATTATATATTTATATATTTATAAGAATAATATTTAATATAATATATAAATTTATAATATTAATATTTTATAATATAATTATTATAATATATATTATAGTAAATTTATAATACATCATTCAAATTTGTAGCCCAACTAAAAAAATTTTTGAAGCCCAACTAGCCCAAATAAGCCCCAAGTCACATTCTAAACTATTCATGCAACTTTTTTAGTCCCACATCATAGGGGGAGTTTAAAGATGTTTCCTTGAACCCTTTATAAAGTGAGAAGTACACTATCTTTGCAAAACAAATTATGTGAGGTATCTAAGATAACTTGCATGTATTATGATGAAATTAATCATCATATTTAATAAAAATATTTTTAAAATTTTAATAAACAAAAACATGTTTTTAAAATTTTAACTAAAACAAATAAAATATTTTTTTGAACCGGCTGGTTCTTTCCAACCTGGATCGGTTCAACGGTTGAATCGCCAGTTCAATCCGGTTAGCTTTGATTCTATGCAGAGCCGGTTCTGAAGCTGGATCGGACCGGCCATAGATCGGTTCACGATTGAACCGGTTGAACCGGCCGGTCCGGTCCGGTTTTCAAAACAGTGGTTTTAGCATAAATTTAGTAAATTTAAGTTCATCTCAATTTGTGGTGCAAATGAGTTGGACTGAACACAAGCCATTCTTGATTTGAGCTTGATTAATTATTTTAACATGAGCTTTATTTAAAGAGTTTGAGCCAAATTACTGATATATCATCAAAAAATTATCTTAAAAGAGCACGAATATTGAGAAAAGATCAAGTTGGAAACATCTAAAATTAAATTTGAAATCATCGGAACTCTAATTTTTGCAAACTTATAGTCGAATAGAACGTTTAAAAAAGATGAACTCAACGACACCAAATTAGACTAAATTCGAGCCCAAATGGATCTGAATTGAAGACTCAAAACCCCTTTGGAAGGTTCAAACAATAATTTGGATTACCAAGCGTTCCCAAATGTGACATGCTTATAGTCGAATAGAGCAAATAGACGAGGTGAATCTAGCGAGCCCAAGATCACCTAATTCTGATATCATTAAGACATTTAAATGTCCAGTAAACAATCCACAATCAAGAGGATTAATATTAGGCGTCCATTTAAACCACTTATAATATTCCCTTGATCTCCATCATATTTATTGGTCATGCACTCCCAAAATACTATAAATATGTTCTTCATCTTCATTGAGGGAACCTATAAAAAGGAAGAGAAAAGAGAGAAGGAAGGAAAAACCATAAATCTTTTGCCACCAGACCGCTCGACCACCAATCATTGTCGGACTATCATCGGACGTCTACCCAGTTATCGAGTGACACGAGACTTCTGCTCTATAATAGCATGTATTTTGACTTTGTCAATTTTTTCTGGAGTCATTATCACTCCAAATCGTAAACCATCTTCATCATGGTATTTTGATAGAAGTATTTTTACTTGATTATTTTTCGTAACTTTTGGGCACCAGCGAAAATCCTTAAGGAATTTGTATATATCGGTACAAGTGAAGATTTCGGGACCTTCAGGTGTCCGTTTTACACACTGATTTCACCGATATTTTTAAATAATATGGTTTATTTTATGAATATTTTTTGTAATTTTCTGAGTCCTAAAATAATTTATTTGAATTTTCTACTAAAAATTTGATTAACTTAATTATATAATATTAAATTATTATTTTATTACAAAATATCTAAAGTCGCTGATTGTAAAATTTATTAAAACCTTCTGTCCTCTCTAATTCGGGTAAAAGAGAATTCGTTTTAGGAATTATGAGAGAAAATGTAAGAGAAAGAAAAAGGAATTCAAAATTTAGAGGTTACGGAGCGATTTTCGTCACTCGGACTAGTTAGGATATTTGCTCATCTCATTGTAAGGAATTCATATCCTATTTCTAATTTCAAAGATTTTGTGTTTTTGATTTTTTTAATCAAATTTTTTTTTTCGTTACTGAAAAATATGAATAACTTTGTATTGACAAAACTTTCACCGTGCAACTTTTTGTATGTTATACAAATCATGATTATGAATATTTTTTAGCAATTATTTGAGATTTTTTACCGGGTGATTTTGAAAATACAATGATTTTTGCCTACAAAATTTATTTTGATGTCTAAAAATACTGGTAGTACCCTAAAAGTTTTAAAACATTATTTTACACAATCTCTAATAATTTGATAATTTTCTGAAAATGTGAATTTTTGCCAACTAAGATTCTTTGTTGTCTATCGTTATGATTTATTTACATCTTTTTAATTAAGTTCAATTATGTTTTATGTGTTGCAATGCATTGAAAATGAACGTTGATACATGATTAAAAATTATTGTTGTAGTATTGTGATACTACTGTGTGTAAAAGATAAGTAAAGACTAATTGCTCGTTGGTTGGAGATTGATTGACCTATACAAAATGGTGAGCTGATAGGCTTTCCTTTAAATACTGTGGTTTGTTGTTATCCTCTACTGATTCACGTGTTACTGATTGAGAGTTATAAGGAGATGATTATTATGCCGACGGGCAAAGAGTGACGACTTTGTTTACTGTTCCATGATAGCCAGGACTTCTTACTTGTTTAGTGTGACTACTAAAATGCATGTTCTTGAGGCATTGTTTTTATTGTTATACGGATTCATTTATACTACAAGGATTTATTGTTGTTGTTTTATTCTACTACTCATGTCATTGATTTGTTACTGGTATTGATTTAGTTACTGATATTATTTGATACTACTGATTCACTGTACTAATATTGAACATGTGATATATCGAGCATGTGATATACAAAATTTATTGAACATGTGATTGAGATATTGATTTAATGTTGCTATATAATAACTAGATAGCATGTGAACACTCTTTGTTGCGTCCTGGAGGATTCGCGGCGGTAGAGAAATATAGTTTAATGTCTTAGCATTGTACGAAGATCCAGCACACAATCAGATAAGTGAGAGGGTGTAGAATTCATAAGAGACAACATAATTAAGGGGGAAATTAAATTCTTAAGTTGTTACGTGAAGAAGCTCACGTAATTGGGCTTTGATTGTTTCGGCCAACAGCTGCTTTGGATGGATTAAATCACTCCCAATTTGAATTTGAATTAGCTAAAATTCAGGGAGTGATTAGGGAGTCATTAATGGCAAGGAATAATAGGAATGAGAGAAGGGTGGGCCGGCCTAGAGAGAGGGGGGAACAGTTGTGTCCACATTCAATGGATTTGGACCAAAGCAATGAATTGTAATTAATGTTTAAAACTGAGAATTAATCTCAGGTTCAGTTACAGAAACTGTTTGATTTGAATTTTAAAATTCAAATCAAAGAAAGGTAGCATTTCGGCTGGAGCAATAAGGGAAAAAAAAAAGGTTCGGCTAGGAGAAATTAGCAGCTTTGGAAAGTAATGAAAGCCATTTCATGGATTATGTATCCAATAACTTATGGGAAAATTCAGCCAAAGGAATAGAGGTAACTTGAATTATTCCCAACGTAGTCTATGATGCAATTAGGAAATAAATCCTAATTTACTCATAAAAGAGACCGGCGGCATGCATGGTCAAGAGAGACTTTAATTAGAGCAATTAAAGTATCTTGATTTAAGTTTTGAATTTAGAAAAGATTTTATTTTTTTTTTAATCAAATTTTTGTTTTCGTTACTGAAAAATGTGCATAACTTCGTATTGACAAAACTTTCACCGTGCAACTTTTTGTATGTTATAGAAATCATGATTATGAGTATTTTTTAGCATTTATTTGAGATTTGTTACCGGGTGATTTTGAAAATACAATGATTTTTGTCTACAAAATTTATTTTGATGTCTAAAAATACTGGTAGTACCCTAAAAGTTTTAAAACATTATTTTACACAATCTCTAATAATTTGATAATTTTCTGAAAATGTGAATTTTTGCCAACTAAGATTCTTTGTTGTCTATCATTATGATTTATTTACATCTTTTTAATTAAGTTCAATTATGTTTTATGTGTTGCAATGCATTAAAAATGAACGTGGATACATGATTAAAAATTATTGTTGTAGTATTGTGATACTACTGTGCGTAAAAGATAAGTAAAGACTAATTGACCCGTTGGTTGGAGACTGATTGACCTATACAAAATGGTGAGCTGATGGGCTTTCCTTTAAATACTGTGGTTTGTTGTTATCCTCTACTGATGCACGTGTTACTGATTGAGAGTTTTATAAGGAGATGATTATTATGCCGACGGGCAAAGAGTGACGACTTTGTTTATTGTTCCGTGATAGCCAGGACTTCTTACTTGTTTAGTGTGACTACTAAAATGCATGTTCTTGAGACATTGTTCTTATTGTTATACGGATTCATTTATACTACAAGGATTTATTGTTGTTGTATTATTCTACTACTCATGTCATTGGTTTGTTACTGGTATTGATTTAGTTACTGATATTATTTGATACTACTGATTCACTGTACTAATATTGAACATGTGATATATCGATCACGTAATATACAAAATTTATTGAACATGTGATTGAGATATTGATTTAATGTTGCTATATAATAACTAGATAGCATGTGAACACTCTCATATAATTTTGCTACATTGATTTGATTTCAATTG